ATAAAATTAATATTTTATTAGTTCATCTTCAGATAAGCCATACATTGTTGTTATTTCTTTTTCAATACAACTAATAGCAAAAGAATTATTCTTAATAAGGGTATAATAATTATCTTTTTGTTCCTTAATATTAATGGATGATTTTTGATTCTAGTTGAATTACTTGATATGTAAACATATAATGCATTTCTTTATCACCAGTTTAATTTTATAACCCTAAAATTAGATTTCTAACTTTTCCTCATAGGCTTAAGCTAATTTAGGATTCCTTTAAAGGCATTTCAGGGTAGCATTTGTTCAGTAGACATAATCTTTACCATCCTGCGAATATTTAATAGTAGAAAAATTTAATTCTGGTTTAAATAGAGCCTTAATTTAAAAAGCCCTTATTAGCCAATTAAATAGTATATTAGCTTCTACTGTTTTTATTTATTAATTAGAAGGGTTTAAGAAATTATTTGATCCATTGGACGTTCTGGCAATTCACTTTGAAAAAAAAGTGCCCAAAAACTAACTATCAATAAATTCAAGACATAATTAAAGATTTGACCATAATGAAAGATATGGTCTAATTCATAGAAATATATCATAGAGGAGATAATACAAAATTTAAAATTGAGAAAAAGGAAAAATTGTAGATCAATTGATATAAAATTCTCCAACCTTATTTAAATAGAACAAGGATAGGATGAAACAAGAAAAGATTAATGAGAATGTATCAAATTGTTGTTATTGTTATTGTAATATTTTTAAGAATTAATAAAAGAATCAAAATGAAAATTATAAATTTAAAGTATTTATATTTAATTAAAATGTGGAAGGTTCCTCTCAATTTACAAGGATGAATAAAATAATAATTATTTTTGGAAAATCAAAAAAATACTAGGTGATTTTGAAATTAATGGAAAAAGTAAGAAATATAAACCCTTAAAAAGCGAATACTAATTAAATATCATTATAATTGGTCTAATTAAATTTTGAGATATAATTAGAATAATATTTTTCTTAAATGAGTTTAATCCAAAAATTTATTTAGCAATGGTAGGATTGATCATGAATAATTATGTAATAAATTCTAGGATATTAAAAAGCTTAAAAATCATGTGTTACAAATTTAGATTTGATATTTTTCCTGACTTTTCTAATAATAGTTTTGGAAGTGATCTATTATTTTCAATTTTATTCAACTAAGGTTATCATGGTAGGAACCATATGAATTAACTGCACTCAATATTTTTCACATTAAGTATTAGATTTGTGGTCGTGTTCTTCAGGTAAAAGGACAAAAGCCTTATATTCATGATAATTGATTAGTTCAATTAATTTATGAATAGATATTTCATTATCATAGGCATATCTAATGACTTTATAATAAAAAAATAATCGGAACATAAAGCCAGGCAAATATTTTCATTAAAAACTAAAAGTAGGTAAAATAACTTTCTAAAATATAGTTACAAACTTATTGAGTGATTGGTGCATTAAGTATCAGCAAAACCAAAAAATTTCAAATTATTACAAATATGATGCATGAAATGATTAGACTAACAAACATAATATTATGTAGGATAATTTCTTATATTATTTTATGTTAATATTTTTCATTTTTTTCAATAATTGTTTTAATGATCTACTTCTAGTTTCATCCATACTTCTTCTAAATAATCATTTTTATACATACAATTAATAGTGATTATATTTTTATTTTTTAATCCATCCTCCTAAGAATACCATTTCACAATGTTGATGCCTTTTCCTCCTATATCAAATGATCCATTGCCACTAATAATATTAAGAAGATTATTAAAAGATTATTACATATGTTTTAAAGATTTTCCATTTTATTCTCTTAAAAAAACATCCCATCTACCAACCTTTTAACTATTCTTA